ATTCTGTCTTATCACTATGTAACAGAATACGGGCTACTTAAATGGTGAACTGCAGGTCAGACATCCATTCTAATTCCCTCATGAATGCAGAGACAAGCATCTGTGTTTGTCACTCACTACAGTATTACATACACTTCCAGAGGAGGGAACTATCCTCTTTGATATTGATTATAAATATTATAAAACCAAGAATGTATATATTTTTTTAATGTAAATCATGATGATCCAAATACTTCAGTATTGGCAAATGTAAAAAATACCGTTAGATCTAAAGAAGCTGATACCGTCCTGTTAAATATAATAGATAACATCAAAAGTCACACAAAAGATAATAAAATAAGTAATGTCATGTCAATAAACAAGTAATGTCAATGGGATTACATGAGGGGGAGTAATCAAGTTAGCTTTGAAGAATCTTGTTCAGAATTTAAAAGAAGTAGAGGAACTAAAAGTAAATTTGACTTGATTTGTTGCTGATTTTTGAGGATTCTTTTTCGCATTGTGTTTTTTTTTTAGCCAAGTTAACCAAAAGCCTTCATCCACCAAAAGAGCACCCACCAGTAAAAGCTCCCTCAACTCGTAAGTACTTAAGAGTGACAGTAATTTGTTTTAGTACCCAGTCCAAGTATTCAGTCATCAACAGCAAAAATAGCGTTTTGGGAATCATGTTAAATTAATCTTGTTAAAATATGTTTAATGTTGTATAGAGCGTGAAGCAATAAATCAGGAAAAAGAAACACCTTCTGCCAAATCAGGTATCTGTTTGTTCACATTCTGAATCTTCTGATTTCTACTCTCCCATCTAACTAATTCCACAGTGACTAACAGTGTGTCACCACTTTCTGGCAGAAACTAAAGGTCAAAAAGGAACACAATAAAACTGGTGATGCGTGTAGAAATAGAGTATCAGCTATAAAGTAGATACAAAACCCAATCTATATAAATATATAAATATGAAACAAAAGCACATACTGTACCATATGGTAATTGAATACCAATTGAAACAAGTGATTTCCACTTTTTATTTTTGAGACCAAAAATTTGTTTTTCTAGCATTTTTCCCTCCTGTTCCTCATGCTCAGTTCTATATATAGAATGGCGTATCATCACTGTGACTGTACTTTAAAGTACAATAGTTTAAAGATGCTAATATATACAGTAGCACAAATCTTCCTTGCAGGTCTACTTTTCAGGACATTAGTGGTGTGCTGTCTTGATGTGCTCAGAGGGTCTCTACTTAGCCTTAATGATGGCTCAGTTAGTACTGATTATTTTGCCACATATACTGTGTAGAAGAATACTTTGGCCACTCACTTCTGATTTCTTCATGAAACAATAAAAACAGAAAGATGTCATGTTTGAGTTATGCTATGCGTCTTGAAAGAATGCATTGTTTTAAAGAACAGAAATAGCCCAGTCTTGTCTGTCTGAGTGCCTTTACATGACAGAAAGTGAAGGCATACGACATTCTGGAGCACCTTATCACCCATAAAGTGCAGGAAAGAGATTTTAATTTTGCATGTAGTGTGAGGGAGGAACTAAAGAGATTTGAAGTAGGATTGTAATTTATCATATTTAGAATAATATTCTCATTTTGAGTTTGTGCAAAGGTTCCCTTAGTTGCAAAGTTTTTGGTTTCCCTGCTTAGATTTATACAGGTTTATTTTATGTTTTTGTATTTCTTTAACAGTCATTGATGTGCTGCTTGATGTTTAATACTCTAACAATTTTGCCTACGTTTACTTGCTGTTTGCAACTAACTTCAAAACGATTGCAAGTATGCTTTAGAAAATTAACTCTGTATTTCACAAAATGCTCGAGGTTTTTTTGCATTTTGTTTGAATTCTGTGTTATTGCCCCTCAATAAATTCTGCTGTTTGAGATGATCTGAGTTATAGAGCATCCATCAGAAAACTAGAACAAGAATTCAAATGCTTTAACCCAGACGGAAAATAAAAATTGAGAATTTGTGCTTTTCAAAAGTGTTTCATAGAATTGTTAAAATACATGGTTCACTTGACTAAACTACAATATTGTTTTGTGTGTCTTCATTGCAGTACATTATTAAAGTTCAGAAGTAAACAAGCCCCATTTTCTCCAAACCCATATTGAATGAGAGGCTCTAGATCGTTCGTCAGATTATCGCGCTGTTACCATGATCAATCCTGCCACCAGACCCGGTTCTCCTGGGGGAGGAGGGGGAGTCTAGCTTCCATGTGATTGTGGCCTGAGTCCTCAACCCAGTATCAATAAACACGCTTCCAAAATCACATTCTTGGGGTTTGTCTGTATCTTCTGAACTGTTACGTAGTATTTCATGGGACATGTTATTTCGCAGCTGTAATGCATCAAAGTGAGTTAGATGATTACAAATAATTAGTAATTGATAAAAGTCTGGAAAAGACATTGCTGGTTTAAACCACTTAAAAATATAATATTTACATTTTCCTCGTTCCATGTTTATGAAGAGCACCTAGTAGAAGCTCCAGAGACAGGTATTTCTTTTACATTTATTAATTGCGGACTTCTTAGAGAGGAAACTGTAGGTCTCGAACTTTCTGAAATGTTATTTGTCTTTTGCTATTTATTTTGTTTTACATCAGTATCGCCTATAAAATCCTAATCGTTCTTTTGATAAAGGTTGGTCTAAAATGCCCAGTCTCATGCAGACAGACAAGACTTCTAAACATAAGTACAGTACTTTAAAAGTAATTTTGAATAGTTGAGATGATCGTACTTTCAATTATAATCAATGTACAGACTTAGATAAAAAAACAACACATTGTTTGATGCTAAGCATGTTTTTTTATTTGTTTTAGCTTACTATGTATTTTTCTTTGCTTCAAACACAATCAGCTTTATATTTTAATCTGCTATTGTGAAGCTAATAGCTAACAGTTGCAGAAGAGGTCATTGTTCTACAAGGCCTTCTTGTGTATGGATTTTAAAAAGTTGCATATTTGACAAAATATTTGTCTAAAAAACAGCTGATGAGGGGTCATTGGAACGTTGTTTACAGGAATAATACTGTCTAAATATGTATTAAATTAACTTTATTGTATAACAGAGCATCCAAACAATGTCATAATACATTCAATGCAGACTTGTGCTACTAAAACAGATCAGCCTAAGTAGAAACTGAAATACTTTAAGTTATAGGACATCTAATTACTTGTCCAAATGTCTTTTGGTATGTTATATTAGGAACATCTAAGCATTTTATTCTTTCAGATTAGAAAGCACGTTACCAAGAGAACTACAAACCATTAGAGTTTCCAGCTTTTATAGCTTTCAGCAAAAGCTAATTACATAACCGATAACACAGCTGGGCATCTTTAAACATGCATATGCTTTAATCACATTATTTATTTTTTTTAATTGTATTTAAATGTGTTTACTTGCAATTTAAAAATTCAATGTCCAACAATATTATATACAGTATATACTGTATATTTAGTATATAATAGAAGTCAATGTTTATGTCCTGTGACACAGTCTCTTCTTGGCACTTAGGTAAACATACCGAGGTTGACAAGAAGCCTGCTAAAGAGGAGAAAGTAAAAGGTAAGCAAATTTAATGTGTAATCTTAACTGATTTCAAAGTACTGGCAAGAATATTCACAGTGTGTGTTCTTCCTTTTTCTAATGTAACTAATATGTTTCCAATAAGCAAAAGTCAATGTAGAGTATGTACACACACAGCAAAATAGTAACAGTATTAATAGCTACATAAGCTACAGGTATGCAATACAAAAGTAAGCAATTATAACAAATTAAAGCAATTTACTGTAAGAATTCATATAGCATTGGAAACAATCTGGGATGACACAATGGCACAGTTGTTAGAACTGCTGCTTTGTGGTGTTGGGGCCCTGGTTCAATTCCTGGAATGCTATCTGGACTGTCTGTATGTTCTCTCCATGTTTGCGTGGGTTTCCACTGGGTGCTCTGTGTTCCTCCCACATTCCAAAGAAATATGGCTTCTGGGAAAATTGCTTTGGTGTAAGTGTGTGTCAGTGTGTGCTCTGTGTTGGACTAGCGTCCTGCCCAGGGTGCATCCTGCCTTGCACTCATTGCTTGCCAGGTTAGGCTTTGCCTCCCCAGCAACCCTGTATTGGATAAAGGGGTTAGGAAATGGAAGGTCTAGAGGTATAACATAGTGCATCTACTATAAATAAAAACAGAGGCTTAATGTCCCAACCACCCAGAACACCCTAGACCAGTGGTTCTCAAACTGTGGTACACGTACCAGCAGTGGTACGCGGAGCGCCGCCAGCTGGTACGCCATATGACCCATAGAACTGTGTTGTGTGCGCTGAAAAATCGGGACGGTTTTCATATTTGCTATTTTAATACACATCGAATACGCAGCCTACGTACTGCGATACAGTGTGCGCTAATACTTCAGTGGACAGAGATACTCTGTAATTCTATACCACTCTATAGGAATGCGTGCTACGGACGAAGTGACCAATTGTATTAAAAAAAAAACTATCTCCAGCAAATAGGAAGGTAGGAGAATGTGTGTGATTTTGGAACAATGCCAATGTTGTAAACACATGAATGCATAGAAATACGTGCTACTAACGCTTGTAATCTTGTGAGCACAGGAAAGCGTGAGTGATAACAGAAAAATATTTAAGAACTTCTAAGTTAATTTGAGAAAAATACACAGATCATCTCTGTTTCGCTCCCATGCGCATTAAATAAAAACTTAAAATAAATACTGAAATAAAAACGGAAACGGGGAAAAATGCAAGCTTGCGGATTGCTAAAGCAGGTAAGCCTCACACTCTTTTTGAAGAACCTTATTTACCATTGGCAAAAGAGCTGACGTATTATGTGTGGAGAAAAAGCTGCTAAACAGTTCGACCTGCTGCCCCCCCCCGAAAGACATAGTCACTCATAGAATTATTAATGAAGGATTATATCAAAAGTACACTGATAGAGCGCGTTAAGATGAGCAGATGTTTTTCACTGCAATTAGCTGAGTCTGTAGTCAATTTGGCCAATTCACTTGTTTATGTTAGATACGAGTTTGAGGGTACGTCCCATGAGGACTTTCTGTTATGTAAGCCGCTACCAACAGGAACTACAGGAGAGCACATATTTCAGCTTCTGAATGAGTTTATCGAAGAGAATGGCTCCAGAGAGGTTGCTCCAGAAATGAATGGACGCATTGCAAAATTCACTGCGAGACCTTTGCCATCAAGAAAATGCCTGACGGTTTAAAATCTGTTAGACTCTGTTGTGAATTGTATCAAGGCTCGAAAAATGAATTCACATCTGCTTTGCTCGACTAAACAGGCTCACCCCTCTCACTGTATTGGTGCTTTTTTATTATTTTTATTTGTTATTGTTACTGTTTTTTTCTGTAAAACGCTTTGAGAAGCCACATTTAAAGGCGCTATATCAAATAAAGTTTATTATTGTAATATTTATTATATGTATGTGTGAGTGTGTGCACGCACACTCATGTTGGTCATTGAGAATTTCTAAGGGTTCCTATGAGATGATGACTTGTAGGTGGTACTTGGATGCTTTGTTTGGATTAGGGGTGATACTTGGTCCAAAAAGTTTGAGAACCACTGCCCTAGACTGTTACCAAATATTCAGACTCATATATGATGCCTACAAAGGCCCAAAATAGAGAGATAAGTAGCCTTCTAAGCTAAGTAGCATACAACCTGCAGTTAAATCTCTTTCTCTGTAAACCTGGATGCGGCAAAATAAATGGGACCTATATCCTTCTAAAATGCACCCACATACCAGGAGAGGCCATTTTAAACCAAGATAGTTTTTACACAGGAGTTCAGAGTTCCCTAATAACTAAAGAATATTAATCTCTCTTAACAAGGTTCAAATAGCATCAGTCTTGTGTTTCCGGGGGACTGGAACAAGGATCTCTTGCCTTGGATATTTCATCTTGTTTCCCCTCCCCACCCCCACCACCACCTTGTTCTTCATTGGCTTATATGATGTCTTTCTGCATTGTTGATTGACACTTAATTATTTTCTGAGAATTTAATTAACTAAGGTAAACCCAGGTAAATGTTGATTGCTTTGATCACTGAATCTGGACCCCCTACATCTCAGCAAACATCCTCTTTGTTTTGGAGCAGGAAATGTTAACACTGCAAAGTGTTACCATTTTATCTACAAATCCAGCCTTTATAGAATAATATAAGGAATAAATTTTAGAATAAATGGCAAATAATACGGCAGATTGTGGTGCATACAACCCACTACACCACACCGCAGTGCTCTTTTTAAAAAATATATTTTGTTGAGGGACTGCTCTACTTTGTAAAACCACCTTGCAGTGACTTCTTAACGTGGTGTGTGGAACCAGTTGGGCTGTCGCCAGAAAACGCCTGGCTTCAAATCCCAGTTTAGACTTTTATTAATTCCATGCTGTATATTGCAGTATGTTAAATATTAAATTAATAAAAAAAAATAAAGTAGGGATACAAAATAACTCAACAGGATGTATACAATAGTTTATTAATATAGCTTGTTGTGAACGGGATCTGCTTCTTTCAGGTTTACATACACATTAAAATAAACTACATTTTGTCTTAATGCAAATTTCAGCAATAAGTAGTCTGGAAACAATTTTACTTTTGATTTTGATTATAAAAAATTTTTTCACACAAACTATACTGTAGTGTCTGTAAAACCCTACAGTATCATAATGCATAAAAATGGCATATTTATATGGCATACCAATCACACTGCTGTTCATTCACGTCTATGCTACTCTTTCAGTATATCTGTGGATATGACATCCTGTGATTCACATGTGGGGAACGTTAGGAACTGTAGTCGTTGTTCTCTTATTTGATTCATGTGGCCAATTGTTTTAAAACTACATTACTCGCTGTTACATTTATACCCCACTGCAATTTGTGAGAAAGCACTTTAATGTGGATGTAAACCTGAAAGAAGCACATCATGTTCACAACAAGCTATAATAATAAACTTTAATACTTAAGAAATCCTGATTGGAAGAAAAAAGTATTTAACCAAGATAGTTTTTACACAGGAGTTCTGAGTATATGGACAAATATACATATATATAAAAGGGTGACATTTAAATGTTTATGCCCCTTGTAACCTTGCCAGTTGACATTTGTTGTCCAGGGTGTGTGTGTGGTGAAGCAAACTTACTGGAATGCTCTGAAGCTGGCAAATAACAAAATGAGTTTGTCCTGCATTAACTCACAGCTCCTTTCCATTAATACTGTGTGCCAAAATTCAAATGGGACATGAGGAAAACCCTTAGCCTTTTTGACCAAAACAATTTTTCTTCAAGAAATAGTTGCATAAAAAAACAATTCTTTGTTGAGGATAAAACACTGTTTGAAGGAAAACTGACGTATCGGTTTTGGGGTTTTGGCAAGTGGACTAGCCAATTGATCCTGAAGCAAGCTTATATAAAAAGTGCAGTTGCTTTATTTTACTTGTTTAAATTATTGAACTGATCTGTGTAAATAGTGAGTTCATCTATGTGCTGTAAAGAACAGTACCTCTCCATTTAAAGGCTTCTTATTCCATTAGTGGGCAAACTAAAAGCACCTACAGGTTGATGTGAAAAATGCAGCATAATGTTCACCACAACGTCGATATAGTGATTTCATCATAGGTAGCTATTCACGTTATCTCAGAATGACCTCGGTGCATGCAGATCATTCTCACAGAGAATAAAAAGCTTATTCACTTTGGAATTTCTCCTGCTGTAGCCACCACAGACAAACAGCTACTGTATGTAGATGAACCAGGTGTATCTATGAATCCTGAGCTGATCTAATGTGGTTACCCTCTGCCGTCTAGCACATGGCTCATCCCTCAGTGGGCTGATTGCCTGATTTCTCTAGACTAGTCTGCTAATGGTTGAAGCAGAACATTTTATTTTCTGGAAAATCACTCTAAAAGATCTCTGTCAATCTTGCTAATGCCAACCAGGTGATATTCATTACTGAAGCGTGACATGTTTGTATCTTTCGTCATTCGTGCATTAATTAAAATAAAGTCATTTTTAATGGCTATACACACATTGTCAATCACTTCTGTTTGTCAGTTTTAACTCAATTGTCAATATTAAATGTTGAGCACCTGGCTATTTTATTAAATGACACAACTTAAGCTCAGTATTTTGTTATCAGAATGAAGAATGCTACTCAGATGCTATAGTATATGCTTATTATTTCCAATTGAAATAACATTATGTATGTGCCCAAAGATCTATTGATGTAAAGCAATTAGATTGTGTTTTCATTGTGCATCAGTTTCATTTTCTGGTTTATTTTGTTCTGAAACGGTTATTCATGATTATTCACTGACCTGGGTAAAACTAGAAAGTGTACAGTATTATAGTATTTCCTACTGTTGCTGGTGTTAGACCCCTGTTACTTTGCTCATTTAAAGTAATGCTGTGTAGACGAGGCATAAGAAAGGTTGGACATTAGTGGAGGCTGTTGGCCCATCGAACCCGTTTGGTACAGTAGCTACTGAATAGGCTTTCGCTATCCCTGCTTCATTCAGACTGTGCTTTCTGTTAACTTCCCTGAGCACGTTCACAATTTCACAGTTTAGAAAAAAGGAAATCAAAGTGATTTGTTGTTTGAAGTGGTCGACAATAGAATTTGTATTTATTGACTAACTTTAGTCAATAGTTAACCTCCTGAAGAAGGCTCCACGGCCGAAACGTTGTGTTCTCTTTCTTCTTTTTTTCAGCATGGAATAAACCTATTACTTGTTCCTTTGCAGCCTACGCATGCTGACGCAGCTACCCACCTGAACTACAACCGCTAACTTTAGTACATTTGGCTAACTACTTGAAAATGTTGTTTGTTTCTTTCCAGAAAAAGATCTGAAAACATCAAAGCCCACAAGTAAGTACAGTAGCAGCCCACGGTCCAGGCAGCAACCTTACAGGCACTATGATTTAAAAAAGCACTAGACCACTTCCAACCACTTCAAGGCCCCTGACCCCTACACAGTATGTTATCACACCACCAGACTGGCAACTGGCATCATCTGTTAATTAGTAAGCAAGCACATCCAATAAAAGGCAAGGAAGGGAAAATAACCTCAGCATGAGGGGATCACAGTCACTGCTGTGCTTTATCACAGGGTGGCACTGTCAGACAGGAAAAAGAAATGGCAAGACAACACAGCAGTCCACACAGTACTCTTTTTGCATGATACTTCATGCTGGAATGGTTTTGTACCTTTCACCATGGAAAAATATATCGGGTGAACTGGAATCTAGTGAAGCAAAAGACTGTTCCACAAAGACTTTTGATTTCAGAAGTTCAATTATCAATAAAAAACAACACTTATAGGAACTGGATTACAAAAGTAACCATCCAGCCGATTATTTCTTTTTAAGAAAATACTAAAATAATAAAAAAAAGTATCAAATTAATATGGATATAAAAATAAAATGAAAATAAAAAAGAAATATTGAAAGCTGCAGGTGTCAGTGCTAAGATGTCAGCAGATTTTGGTGATTCACTAGAAAGGTTTATTTGTTAATCAGAATGTACTCCTACTGTATATTATTCTACTCTATGATTGCTTTAAAGCATGTTATAATAGTAATACAACATTACTCCTCAGTTTGTACACATTTATTTATGATTAACGCTATTATTCTTGCTGCTGTTTCATGTATAGCATCCACTTTTGCTGAAAAGGTTGTCAATCAAAGTGACGCCTAATCTTCTTAGTCAGGATCCCGGATTAAGGTATTCAGACGCTTCCACCGGTAAATTGAAGTGACTCTTCAAAAGCATTTTTTATAACAGAACAGAATTGCTAAAACATGATTCCATTGTAAATGTTTCAAAATGTAGCTCAAACTATACATGCCTAATGTGAATAAGATGGCTAAATGGACAGAGGTGAGTGTTGTTCTTTGGAAGAACATCCACATCTGGTTCATTTCAGTTTTCCAGTGGAAGAATAGCATGGTGGTTACATCACCTGTCTCTGTCCTCACTCCATTTAAAGACCACATGGGCACATTTTCATGAAAGTCTAAACATCACCATTAACATATAAATTGCCCCAGCCTGTTTAACATACTGTGTTCTTGTATGCATTTTTATATATTGTATTTTGAATCTCAGCTTTGGATGGGAACATTTCTAAAAATGAAAACACTCAGGTACATTGAAAAATGTCCTGAAGCATAAGCTTAGTTGGTGATTGGATGAAAAAGGAGTTGTCTACCATGTGCCATGCAGTCATCTGCAATCCCCATTACAAGAATATTTGCTTCTGATAATGTTCTTCATTACATATTGTAACGCAACGGGGGCTCAGGCGGGCGCCCTTGCCGCATCTGGTCGGCCCCATCCCGACTGGAGGCTCGAACCCGGGACTTCCGCGTCTCTCTGCAGCGACCTAGCCCCGTGAGCTAAAGAGAGATCTCTCTACAGCCCAGTAGCTGTAGTCCTGCTATCACAGGGAAGGGCGGTGACGTCACCTGCTCTGGTACGCCGGCTCTTACACACAGTGTTTGTCGGCCGTAAGCGTTACAATATTTTAATGCAGTCAGTATTTTTGACTACCAGTGAAAACAGAAAATAACATGAAACATGGTGTTGTGACCTTGAGTCATGGCACTATACACTATACCCTAATATAATTGATTAAAAGTTTGCATTGGTCAGCGATAACATACAAATGGTTCTTACCACTAGATGAAACAAAGACACTAAATGTAGTTACGATGCGCTTTTACTTTCAGAATAATTTGAGGTTTTATGTAAGAGTCCATGCTTTGCGAAGGAAATCATTTGTGGATTTATTTTAAATGCATAGCCAATAATAAGGACTGAATTTACTGTGCTAAATAAAATTAAAATGGCCCATCACTAAAATTATTACATCTCTTAAAAAAGGCAAATAAGACATATCATACTTCCACAACATTTTGCATCTATAAATATATGACTGCAATGGATTGATGCCATCTATAAAAAATAATCTGCAGTGAAGAGAAAATGTATTAATATGCCTATTTAAATCTGAATTTCAATGTTATTTTTTTCACTGTTCATTAAAAAGCCATCATTATCGTACTAATGATTTGTGTATTGTTAGTATCAGGGTTGCACCAAAACTCATTCAGTGTATCATTGTTCCTCTTGCTCATGTTCACATGACACATCTTCACTTCAGCACCACTTTTCTGTTTTTGCATTTGGTTTATTTTTGCTTTTGTTTGTCAAACTGAGTTCTCCAAATATACGTTACTGCTTGCCCATTAAAAAAGTGATACTTAAAAATGGGAAATCTGTTAGCCCTCTTAAAACAAATCAACTACTTGAAGTTTATAAACTTCAGAGGAAGACAAACTGAGAGATTCTTTTTAACCTGTGAACCTGAACAAAGCAGCAGCACACAGTAAGATGGGCCAATTACTTTTTTGATTTTTTAAATAAAATTTATATTTAATATATTTTTCTTCCCATGAAAATATCCCCATGTTTACAAACTTGATTATAACAATAAACCTGATTGTTGATTTGAACAATAAAGTACATATCCAGTAATGCAACTAGTTTTCAATCACTGGTGTACTAGTTGCACAGCACTTTTCCACTATACTCCCAGACGAATTGTCTCAAAGACCAGTGTAATAGATGGCAGGCTGTATAAAGCCAGAACACTTTGATGTATCATGGCTCATCTCAGGCACACCAGTAGTTATAATTCTCTAGTACATCTGTTCTTTGCACTGTTACTCTGTTGATTAAATTAAAATAACTACTCTAATGAAAGGCTGTAGCTGCAAGTAAAAATAAATTACAGCACATTGAGATGCTGTTTCTTCTTTATGATTTGTACGTTTCTCAAACCATTCTTCTCCTGCTTCATTCTAAGAAACTCACATTTGAAACGCACTCTGAGATTTAAGTGTTCTGGTGATTACAATGCAGAAGTATTGTACAATATAATGACGTTTTTGTTGGGCGCTTCCAGGGGTAGGTGTATTTAACCTGAACTCATGTGAAACACTTTAATTGCACACTGGTGGACCCCGGTCAACTAATTCTCTGACTGCTAAAGACTGGTTACACCAGAGCATATTTAAGTGTGTCACAGCAAGGGTTTGTGAATACAATTCTTAGGCAATCAGTTATTTTCTATTTTATATTTATATTTATATTATAATAATTTAGGAGGCTTTGTAGAGTTTTGTTTTAACTTTGATTTTATAGTGTTTTGTGTTGATCAATGGCAAAAATCCCAGTTAAATACATTATGATTCTACCGCATATTGGGACACAATAACATGTGGAAACATTCATGAGGGTAATTTTGATAGCAATTGTAATTGCTTTGATCCTCAAGAAGCCTACGAATGTAAATCACAATTTATGCTAATCAGCATATTTTTCATTTATTCTTATTTTTTTAATGTTGTTGACTTGTATTGCTATTATATTCCCAAGAAATGTCTAATGATCTAATTCTCTTCACAGTGAGGGCTCTTGGTGATGTGTATTTCTTTAATGCTCTGTCATGGGGTTTATCTTATTTTTTTTTCTGTGCAGTGAATAATCATGTGACTAATGTAATTTGCATATGAAGGACCATTTTCCATGCTGAGATAACTGGTGCTGGATTTGTTTAGGATGACTTTATTATGATTAGGGTTCAAAATAAAAAAAGCACAAATACTGCTTATATTAATATTAGACTGTTTGATAAAGTGTATGAAGTGTTCCCAAGAGAATTTGATGCTTTTTAATTCATACCTGTACAATGTTTGTTGATAAGTTCCCAAATTGATGTCCTTTTCCTTCCTTCTGGCAAAAGAAGCTGACAATGAAGATCCAAGGAAAGGCAAAAGTAAGTAGTGTTCTGCTTTATACAGTATATGTTAGGCTTCATGCTAGAAGTTCAGTTGATTTTCTGCATGATCTCTCATCAGAACAATTTGCATTTCAGAATTTCCTTGATCATGAAATCAGTTTATTTTTCAGGTTAAAAATGTCAATTCTTGTTTTTGACTTTATTGTTTTGAATTCTATTTTAATATGGTAAAGAATATAATGCAGGAGGCACCAACATAAAAAAAATCACCCAGAAGTTTTTTTATCAAGGGGATCCTTAGGCGAGAAAACGTAGCATAGTTGCACGTGTATTTAATAGATAGATACTTAATTGATCCCGTGAGGGAAATTGCAGAAATTAATCAAAACAAAAGGAAAAAACAATGCTTTGTCATGTATACTCACATATAATACTAGAAAATAAGGGATATACTGTATGAAGTAAATAATAAAATATAGTTATCTGTAGTCATATCTCATTTCCAAATAAGCAGACTTAGAGGTACTGTAACATGATGTGCTGTCTTGTGTGAACTTTTAAAGGGAAAGTCAAATTTCACTAGTAATTTGTTCTGGTTCATTACTAAGCTGGCCTTCTTCTTGTAGACAGACATTCTGTACCTGCTTGATAGTCAGCTGGGGATTTGGTTACATTCCTGCTGTATAAACACCCCAAGTCTCTGGAATTTGTGTTGGGGACTCTTCCGACGGGGGTATTCAATGGCACAGAGACCAGGAGAATCCATTGGCAATGGCAGGGCCTAATTGCCATGTCCCTGGAGAATCTGACATGTTACACATGTGGTGACCTTGACAATCATCATTCCACAAGCGGTGGTGTCCCATCAGTATACTGTACATCACTGACTCTGCCCTGTGCGCCCTAACATAGGTGAAGGATATTTCTGTTATGGTGACTATTCCCTTCATACCCTAAATATCTCTATTCACAAGACACAAAATGCTAAGGCAGTGATGCGGAACTACTGAGGAAATACATAGCTTTCCATCTTTGTGAAACGTAATTATGGTATTACAAACAGAATAATTTTGTTATAATTTACCAGTTTTCTTACATTTTTCTTACAATTATCTTTAGTATCACTATTATTTATCAGTCCTCATACGAATAACAATCATGAGACACAGACTTACTGTATAGTAAAATACATAACATAAAAACAGTTTAATAGAATTCTTAGATGATTAAAACAGAAGGACCCAAGAAAACAAGATGAAGAAAATGGCCAACTTAGTTTCTCATTTTTGTTGTCTTGTGTGTTTTGTTTTAAATTTCAGATCTAAAGAAACTCATTTTTATTTCCCCCTTTTTTAAAAATCTTTGCAGGTAGCATGCGCTACTTCCAATGTGTCTTTGTCGATGGAAACAATGGCCAACACCCTATCTACCCCTTCACAGCTTTGCAGAGTCCATCCTTGAATCCAAAAGCTGCAGAAAAGAAATCCAGGTCCCCAGGACATTAGGCCACAGTGAACAATGCTGATGTGTTGACATTGTGTACTACAGCAGCACTTGCCCTGAAGTTTGCAGCAACTACTGCAGTGATCAATATGGATCATATGCATCTTAAAAGTTAGCAGAGGCTGTAAGGGAACTTGGTGGATGAACAGTGTTTTTGTTTTCATAGAAGTTTAGAGCTTCGGGGAGTTCAATTATTTGTGCACCCCATTCCTTTTAAAATGGCTGTAATGCTATGATTTGTGTTGCATTTAAATGTTGATTCAAGTCAGTGTTCTGTTTAGAATTGTTCACTGCTAAGAGGAATCAATACTGTGTTTTATCAAGATGTTTGTCTGTAACTGTGAGTTATAGTTCATTAAACACTGCAAATAAATTTTAATATTACATGGTTTAGGTTAAAATACATCATAAAGCTAGACAATATGAGATTCCATTTTGGCATTATTACCCAGTCACTAAGCTTGACCCTTAGTGATTTATGTTGTTCGTTGGGGCTTCATTCAGAAATGTTGAAGCTGTCTGTTTCACTTTATGTATGCTTTTGTAAGTATGTTTGAATGTGCTACCTTGTGCTTCTTTGAGCCTTAACTGGGTTTCCTGAGTTTCAAGGGTTTCAGATGCATCTTTTACATAACAGAAATGGGACTGATATCCTTGAATAATAAAAGCTTTTGAAAAATTTTAAATCACATATTGTGCTTCATTATTCTAAAAATATGTACAGTAGGTATTTGACCTTTAAATTGAATCCATTCAGTCTCAAAATATAACAAGTTCTTGAAACTCACTTTACTTAAACATAGTCTTTGGCTTAGATAGAGTGGCGTTTTGCTGCTTTTTGTTTGTCTTTCAAGGAATGAGGTAAGAAAAACAGCAGGAGCCTGTTCATCCACATAGAGTACTGCAGAACGCCAGTGAAACAAACCAGTTTCAGTGGTTTGTGCAAAAGAAGAGCATTATGCTAAAAGAAGGAAGCAAAGTTGATGATATTTAAATTAATTTAAAACTTAAATAAATGGATACAGAGAGAAATGAAAGCTAATATATGATCTTTTCATTGTCACTTTGCTGTGGTTTCTCCAACTAGTTATTTATAATATAAGAGCTCTTTATTTACATACATGTACTGTATGTAAAATTAAATACCAGTAAGGGCACTTTTTAAAAAGGCACTTCATAATTTTAATTCATTCTCTAAAAAATAAATGTTATAAGTGCACAAACTTATAAAAAAAAGAAAATGCATCATTTGTTTTACTCATATTTTTGGTAAAAGTATGAATCTCTGATGTACAGTATTTTATGTACCTCAGGCTAAATCTTGATGGCTTATACAGTATATTTTGCACTGTAATGAAAACAACTGAGGGCAAGATACATATCTTTGTATCAGAATTTCATAAAATAAGTTAAAAAGAATAGAAATAAAATAAATGGCATTAACAAATGACAATCAGAAGAAGGGAAAGTTCCAAAACTGAAGATAAAAATATATATTTAGGTGTAATGAAATTCCTTAAATTCCTCCAGTTTTTTCTCCAACAGTAGTGTTTTCAAAGTGAAAAAAAAGTGCAAATGTAATCATTTGCATATTTAACACCCAATGGAGATGCATATCAACCAGTCAGCAGTGCCGATAGTGCAGGAATGAAAAGTACTTAGTTCAGGTGGGTAGCTGCATCAGCATGCGTAGGCTGCAAAGGAACAAGTAATAGGTTTATTCCATGCTGAAAAGAGAAGAAAGAAACACGTTTCGGCGTCACACCTGAAGAAGGCTCTTTCTTCTCTTTTCAGCATGGAATAAACCTATTACTTGTTTGTTTGCAGTACTCATAAATGTTAACTGACAAAGGGGAGATTTTGATTTAACAAAAAAGAGACAAGGATTGTACATGACAATGTGCTGCAGAAGTGTTCACCCTTTTCTGAAGATGTCCCATTTCGTTGAATTACAAGTTATGTATACATATTTTTAAAGGAAATTTTTAATCAAAGCATGAGCTATTGGACTTAGCACTGTTATGGGGGCAAGATAAATGTCGGCATTTCACTTATTGTGATAGCAAGTATTTACCTCCATTAGTCAATGCTGGGTGCCAAACACATTTGGCATCAATTACAGCTGTGAGTCTTTTTGGATAAGTCTCTACCAAACCTGCACACCAAGATGGTACATCTTTCATCCATTCTTCTTTGCAAACTTGCTCAAGGTCTGCTTAGGTTGGTGGGAGAACATTGATGGACGGCAATGTTCATGTTTTGCCGCTTATATTCTATCGGATTCAAAATAACGTTGCATAGCACTCCTCAAAAACGCTCTCACTTTCTTCTTCTTGAGTCACTCCCGTGTAGCTTTGTCTTTGCATTTTGCGCCATTGACCTGCTGAAAGGGGATTGTTTTGTTCCATTTTAGCCAACTAAAAATGCTTCATTCATTTCCCCTTTGATTTTGACAATCTTGCAAGGAAAGGTCAAGTTCAACTCCAGTTGCATGGACTTTGGTTTGGTGAGCGCATGTGATTAAAGACATACAACATAAAGCTGATAATGGAAAGGGAAAGCTACTGACCAGAAACAGCTCTATAACACAATGCTGTCACCAGCATGCGTGACAATAGGGACGGTGCTAATTGGGTGATACAGTTGGAAAAGAACAGGATAAGGCTTTACATTTAGACGAAAAAGTTCAAATTTTGTATCTTCCAACCAAAATTCGTTTACCACTTTCTGCACTATCACATTAATCCTTTGAAGCAAACTCCATACAGGATTAAAGTTGTTGTTTTTTCTTTTCTAATGCATGCATTCAGACCAGTTTTGTGGAGTGACCGGGATGTTGCTGGCTCATGGATCTTTCCTCCCACTTCAGTCATTGAGGTCTTGACTTGTCTCAGAATTACTTGTGCACAACACCTTCTACTTTTTAATGATCAGCTTCACTGAACTCAAAGAGATATTTAATGTTTTTCAAAATGTATAAAAGTTACTGCTCATCTGTGCACTTCTACAGTACACTACCTTAAGTTGTTTGTCTCCATAGTTGAATCTTTGCATGAAATGTACTACCAGACTGAGGGACCTTACAGACATTCTGTAGGTGTATTTGAAATTAAATTGAAATGAAATCATATGAGCCACTATTATTGCACACATATAGAAGCATTTCAACTGTGTGACTTGCCAAAGTTATTTGGTGGTGTTCTAACTAATTTATGTTAATTTATCTGAGATTACACATTACAAAATAGAAGGTTCACCAAAATAACTAGAGTGTTACACTATGTAAAGCGTGAGACATTTGAGTTTTTTATTGTCTCCCGCACAACTCTGGTAACAAAGAAATAAATCAGGCTTAAACTTGTCCAGACAAATATTTATTAAAAATAAATAACATCCCTTCACATCACACAATGTTACACAGCTACACAAATATAGAAATCTATGTATTCCAAAGGACTATGTCCCATGTGTCCAGAAATATGTCCTTGTAATCCAAATACACTCTGAAACACCATTACGATAAGAGAAGAAAATGGTGTCATAAGAAATGAATCCTAAGCAGAACTACTGTATCTCCCCTCCTGCAACCGAGGTGCCAAAATTAAATAGGAAACAATCTTCCAATTCTAACCAGTCAATCCTCACAGGCTTGGTTACCATGACAGCAGTGTTTTCTGCTATATCCAGCGACTAACGTAGGTTTTGTAGCTACCTATATTATTTTTGTGGTGTTTTAACTGATCTGCAACCGGGTGTCTTTCTAAACCACTGTTGTTACACTGTTCTTGGGTGACAATGCATCTCCAAACTAAGAAGAGAGCATCATTAGCCTGAGGATTACACAGACTAGGAATTCACAGTTTCATTCAATAAATAAAGATCGCAAGAGCTCTGTAATAATTTTCAGATTACATAGCCAGAATCTGGTCTCCAAGAACAAGAAGCTCCCACGCGGCTCAAGCCAAAAGGATGCCGATGGTGATGTTCCTTCTTCTCTCTCACTCTCTTCCTCTGTGACGTCTGTCTCCTCTCTTTCTCTTTTTCATCCTTTTCCTCTATATAAATGTGGTGCTCTGTCACTGTTGAATGTTAATCCTTTTTATAATTTTAAAGATTTACCATGAAGTTAGTTAACACAAGAAAATAAAAAACACATCATCAGAGTCTTTGCCTTTTTATTTGCTCTGAGCCCACCTATGAAAAGGCAAACACTTCAAAACCATGCCCACAGTTTTACACTTTCTGAGTAGTTTGGATCTTTGACTTTAGTTTAACATTTTAGTTTTCAATTTTCAGTTCAGTTTGTTTTGCCTGTAAAAGTTCATTTTAAGCTTTCAAGTTTTGTTAAAAATATGTATACAGTACGTCACTGGTAATTCAGCAAAACTGGGACTCACTGGAAATGGATGAATACTTTTGCAAGAAACTGTAGTATCCATTGCTTACATTACTATGACTATCAAGCAAAACAAATGTCTGTTGATACAGTACCTATGTATAAACTTATATCTTTGTATTTTGTGCATGACACCTTTTGTTTGACTGCTATTTTAGATAACGTAGAAAAAAGAAAACTGCTTACGTAAACAAAACACATTGTTTGAAGTCTTTAGAACAAGTTATTTTGCAAGCATATATCAATAAATAATTTAATTGAATTTGAAGTGATAATTGTAAGGTAATAAGCAAATAGTGAACATTGTGATTGCATAATGTGGGGGTTTGTTTTTAAACCAATTGCCCTGTAGTGTGGTATCAAGAAGCAAAATGAATATAGGAGAAAACAATTGTATAACAATTTGTTATATTAAATGTTAGCTCAACTCCTAGTTAGTTTGAAAAATTCAGAAAGGATTATAACATATTGAAGGATTGAAGATGGTTTTTGGAAAGTGACTTACTGTTAATTGAAATAAGTCTATATAGTGACTTGTCCAATGTGAGAAAGGATGAAGGTATTCCTGAACGTCTTATTTATATTTTTATTTTTAACATAACTAGGCAATGATTTTGATGTACCTAAAAGCACATATGCAAATGTATAATATAAAAATAAATAATGGTGTAATTTGATAAAACCCATGCTGTCTGAGATTTTGTACCTTGGGAATTTTCATTTTTTATCTGGTTGTGTTCTGAAAGGTAATCGTATTAATAATGCACTGCTTCCATTATCAAGATATTGTTTATTGGGAAGGAGACAGAAGGACAGTGGAGAAAAGCAGGTTAAAAAGTCAAGAAGACATGTCAAAAAGACCTAAGGCTGCCAGTTTGGTGGATTGAGGCTTTTGCAGTTGGCCCTGTTGCAGGTGGAAATATGGAGGGAACTGTGAAGGTAGGACATCTGCCTTGACTGAGCCAGAAGTTGGATGCTGGACAAACCCAGGGCTAAGGAGATGGTGTCAGGAGTAGCTAGGTCTGAGAGATGAGAAACCAGGGTCAAAGGCACTAAGAAAATTGGGACATCCAGGACACTAGAGATGGAAGAAATGAATGTGCCAGGTGACATAGAATGCCCACTGTCCAAGCCAGAGGCTATATACCACACAGAGGCAGGGCCAAGGAGATGACATCAAGAGCACAGGAGGTCGAAGTTGTTATGCTTGAGATATTCTGGAAGCTGGGTCCACAATATCTCAATCATTAGAGTCTCCACTCTATGGGTGACAGGGCCTTCTCCTGTTCT